TGTTCCAACAAAATGTTGTGAGAAATGGGTGTCAAGGCTTACACACCAGTACAAGGTTTCTCTTGTGTTAACTGTTGATTTGCATGGTTGTGGTAACTTCAGTAATGTTCAAAGCGCCATTAATGCTGTCCCTGATTCAAGCCCTTCCAAGACTCTCATCATCGTTAATTCGGGTTCTTATAGGTCCTCTCTTCAACTTCAAGCTATTGTTTTCCCCTCTTATTTTTTTTCTATTGACAGTCCGATATTACTTTCTTGCATAATAACAACTAATTACAGTAATCTTGGTTCAATGTAAGCAAAGCAGGGAAAAAGTTACGGTTAATGAGAACAAAACAAATATTGTACTTCAAGGAAGAGGATATGAAAATACATCCATTGAATGGAACGATACAGCGAAATCCACCGGAGGCACAATCTATAGCTTCTCATTTGCTGTGTTTGCATCTAACTTCACGGCTTACAACATCAGCTTCAAGGTAAGGACATCAAGAACATAACAATAAACCTTTTTACAAATCTACTTAGTTAATGCATCTCATATGTGTACATGTTTTGAATGGAGGAAGAACAATGCGCCAGAACCAAATCCTGGTGAAGATGATGCACAAGCAGTAGCTCTAAGGATTGAAGGAGACCAAGGTGCTTTTTATGGATGTGGATTTTACGGCGCTCAAGACACCCTTCTAGATGATAAAGGAAGACATTTTTTCAAAGACTGTTTTATCCAAGGGTCCATAGATTTCATATTTGGCAATGGAAGATCACTCTATCAGGTTAAAAATAGAACTCATAGTTGAGCATTCCAAAACATAACCATAACAACATGAAATTGCTAGCAGGATTGTACAATTAATTCGATAGCAAAAGAGAATATATCAGGGGTTAGCGGATCTATCACAGCTCATGCAAGGCAATCAGAAGATGAGCATACAGGATTTTCTTTTGTAAATTGTAAGATAGATGGAAGTGGGAAAGTGTGGCTTGGACGAGCATGGGGAGCCTATTCTACCGTCGTGTTCTCAAACACTTACATGTCTGGAATTATCAATCCAGAAGGATGGAATGATTGGGGCGACCCATCAAGAGAGAAGTAAGTCAACTACAAACACAATAAAAAACATACATACAAAAAAATTTATGTCCTAAATGGGTTTTATTTTTTTAGGACAGTGACTTTTGGAGAGCATAAATGCTATGGATCTGGAGCAGATTACAAAGATAGGGTTTCATATGGAAAACAACTCACAGATTCAGAAGCATCTTCTTTCATAGACATTTCTTTTATAGATGGCGATAAATGGCTTCATCAGATTAACAAGATCATAATGCATAAATATACAAGATCATATGAGCTTACATTTGAAGACGAGCTTACCAGATTATACTAACGTATGTAAAGATCATAATGCATTAATATACAAGAGAAAGTTATGCTATAGTTATAAGTCTATAGATAGTCGCATCACTACAAAAAAACAAACAGTATTCCGACGGAATTTCTGACAGCCGAAATTTCCGTCGGAATTTACCGACGGCATACTGACGGATTTCCGAGCAAAATGAATCCGTCGGAATTTTTTGACGGATTTCCGACGGACACGGAAACCGTCGGTATTCCGTCGGAAATCCGTCGGTATTCCGTCGGAAATCCGTCGTCTTGTCCCGACGGATTTCCGACGGAAATAAGTTATCGTAATTTCCCGACGACTTTCCGACGGAATAACGACGGAAATCCGATTTTTTCCGATGTCGGCAAAGTTTGATTGGTCAGCTCATACCGACGGAACTAATTCCGTCGGAAATTCGATGTCGGCAAATTTGAGTGGTTACCATTTCGTTAGCGGTGGCCGATGGGATTGGTGGGGTGTTATGTCGGAGGTTTGTGACGGATTTCCGACGGAAATCCGTTCT